GATTTCTTACACATTCTACTCCTGGGATCCAGCAAAAGATAGACACCAGTGAGAGCAGTAGTGTGCAGGGGGCAACAGCCTTTAGCCACAGTCACAGCACTCATTATGTAATGTGGTGCAGGCCCACAAGTGAGGTGACGCTCTTGGATATAATTTAGGAAGTGGTCAGTGTAACTTCAGCCTCTTTGATACTGTAAACATTAAAGTGGTGCATTATAAGACTTGGGTAAACCGATGCTTCAAAACCAATATGTGGTTTTATCAATATTTCCTGAACAGTACCTTAGATGTTACAGAAAGCCATTCAGGGGGGGAAAAAAAATCCAACTTTATAACATCGCCAACAAAAATCATTTGCCTAACTGTTCCCTTCAGGGTTTTTTTTTTTTTTTTCCTTTTTTGTTTTGCTACCAGATCACTGTTTCTTCTCCCTATAAGTTCTTTTAATTCCACCTTGTTTCTAAACATCAGTTACAGCATGAAGATAATGGGAGGGGGGGGAATCTTTTTACAAGGCAGAGGTCGCAGAGTAAAGAAAGTGCCTGTGCAAGCCCGCTGACTCCATAAAATGGAAAATTGAAGCCACTGAGGTTTCCTTGAAAGATGAGCTTCTCATCACACACTCTTTCCTCTGTTTTCTTTCTTTCCTGAGTCTGTCTTCTCCAAAGAGAAAAATAACACTTCTAGGTCTTCATATAAATGAAAAGTCCTTAACTTTAATAGTATTTTATTAGTGGATAACTTCACATCAGAAAATATTGGTTTGAATTTATAATTAAAAAAAAAAACAGCAATCTAACTTACTGTCACCTTAACTAGTCGTTGCTAGCTATTTATTAGGGTCTGATAGAACACACGGGAGAAATGTGCTGCCTACAAGGATGGGCACATTGAGAGCTTTGATATAATATTTTTGTCTTTTGAAACTAATATTCCACCAAAAAGCCTCTCAGATATTTAACTCAACATTTAAGTTTACATCTTTCTACAGCTAGTTTATACTAACAAATAATTTCCATGAACACTGACCATATAAAGAGGGCTGAGGTCCTGACAATACCAAACACAGATTTGCTCCATGGCTGCTCAGGAAAGAGGCCCTCTACAGTGGTACTGTTCAGATGAAATGAACTTGAACACAATTCTCAAACCCTCCCTCCTTGGTAACTCATTTCTATCTAAATAGCCAACATACACTTAAAATTCACTATGGTTAACAATCATATGGTTAACCATAGCAGACCAGACAATCATGGTCTGCTATTTCGGACCAGCCAGTAGGACTATTTCTAAGACAAAGCAATGATAAATATTAAAGAAGATAGATACTATTTTTTAATCTGTTCATCATACCTTGTACCTGAATATTGAAATGCTATACCACAGCCTATAAATATGTCAATTAAAATCAAAATTCTATTTTAATGCTTATCTAAGCATTCCTGCTGTCTTTGTACTTTTAACCTTTATAAATCTTGCGAAAATAAAATGCTCTCTGTGTTTACAAGTTAGGAATGATCATATTCCTTTTATCTGTTCTAATCAAGTCTTTAATCTTGAAAACTGAGGGGGAGAATTCCTCGGCTCTCCTGTTTTGAGAGTTGGCTATAAAACGTGTACATACCCATTCTACACAATGGCTCACATTGTTTTATTTTATAGACATAGTCACCAGTAACAACTTGCAATTCCGGCCTAAAACACAACTAAATAAGGAGGAGGCGGAGGGGAAGACAGAATAGAGCAGCAGCAGAGAGACTACCATGGCCTCGCAGGGCACGGAAGGCAGCGCTGCTCCCCTAGAAACTGCAGCTGAGGGCTTCAGAGTTTGGTTATAGAATCCTGAGCTTTAAAGACGGTGCAGGTATGCCATCCCTCTTGCCTATTGGTTCTGTATTACCAAAAAGTTATCTGATAGACTCCTAACTGCCTGCGCTCTCAGTCACAAGCTACCCATGGACAAAAACAAGTATTTGTTATTCTCTCTCTCTCTCCCTTTCTTCTTGCTCTCCCCATTCCCTTCCCTTTCAATGTCCCCCTTCTCCTCTCCCTTTTCCTCTTCCTCTCTTTTGTATTTGTCCCTGTGTCTGTGTATGTATATGTGTCTGAGTGTCTAGGTGTGACTGCGTGTCTCTGTGTCTGTGTGTGGTTTTGGTTTTCTTTCCATTCTCTGTCAGTCTTTGTGAATGATTCACTTTTTGTCGTCCCCCCCCCCGTGTCTGTCTTTATGTCCTGATGGATGTCTGTCCATGTGTCTGTCTGTTGGCTTTCATGTCATCTCTGCCTTTTTCTACACATGTTTATCTGACTCAGTGTAAGATCTCAACTTTTCAAAAGGAAATTATGTTGTATGAGAAAGAAAAGCTCATCAATATGAAATGCCAGCCTGTTTCTTCAGTTCTTGAATCAACTGGGAATGCTGCCTCTATCACATCCTTTCCCCCACTACAGCTCTGCCAGCAGTTCATTCCCAATGCTATTAAGTTGGTGAATGATTAAATCTTCAATGTGACAAACCTGATCCATCTATGAGAATCCTAGAAGAAATTTTATCTGTTACTCTTAATTAAACAATCTCTTAGGATGAATCTTTCAATTTCTCTGCCAAGTCAGGTAGCAATGACAACTGGAGAGCCCTCCCACATAAAATGGGCAGACCAATTACATACTGAACTTCTCAGTTCAGGTACTTGCTGAGGCTTTTCAGTATTTACTACATATAGAAATGTATATCTCTCAAATATCTAACACACCCCCAACAAAATCCCAAGGTTTTGTGTCCTACTACTATTTGAAGTTGTCCATAGACAATGGGGGATGGAATCCTTAAATGTCAAAACAGGTAAATCTCACTCATGCTTGATGTTACCCAAGGAAAGAAGCACTAAGTTAATGAACCCATTCTAATCCCAGAGTGTAAAAAAGATAAAATATTCATATGTTGGGTGGTAGATATAAAATGGAGGCAATGGGAGCAGGAAGTCCTAAGCCACATAAAATAAATCTTTATTTCAAGTCACGTCTGACATTCTAAAACCATCTCATGGTTCCAATCTGAGAAAGTTGTTCCACTCAGAACGATACAGTGCTAAACTTTAATCCAGGGCTTCTCGCGGCCTCCCTCTTCATCTGAGAGAGTGGCAGGGGGCCCATGGGTCTGGTTTTCTAAGGCCTTCCTTAAAAACGCCTCTCAAAGGCCAACTGTATGAGTAGAATACCTCAAGAAGATGAGAATTCTGGAAGATGATTGCCATAACCCTGTGAACGCTGATTCCAGTGGAATCCCTTACATTCCACCCAGCAATCGATTGTCTTAATGCTCCCTGTGTTCTAGACCCATGGAAGGTATTCATAAGGAAGGCAATGGGTTAGTAGAGAAAGCCCATGCCATTTTAAACATGTATTTTAACCTACATCGTCATGAAAACTGAAATTGCCCACGAACCTCACCCTGGAGTAGCTACAAATATTACAGGGATTGAAGTGACTGCAGCTCTATAAGCTATTTTTTTTTTTCATCCAGATTTGCCACTGCTGCTCTAGACCTGTACAGAATCACACATTGACCAAACCGGAAGAAAGATTCACGGAGCTCCAAACCCAACTCCAAGGTGAACATCTAAAGAAAACACCTTAGGCTACTCCAATGCCGAGGATGTGTTTCCAAGCCTGGTTTTCCTAGACAAGCTAATCCAGGAAGCGGTGTCCTCTAAACTACCACTCCGTGTCTGGTTATTTGCTGTCATTTCTGTGCGCCTCTCTAACCCACAGCCAAGAGTCTGAACCACGTTTTCATACAGACGACCCACACCATTATCTGCTGTGTAAGGCCCCCAAAGACACACGGTTTCCAGGAGCGGTGGACCGACCGAGGCATCACAGAGCCTCAGAGAACATTCCCACTGCTTTCCCACTCAAATCCAGGTGCGGAATTATCTTTCTCATAGTTCTCTAGGAAGGGACTTTGAAGAAGAAGAAGAAGAAGAAGAAGAAGAAGAAGAAGAAGAAGAAGA